CAGTCAAAATTTAATAGCAGAGAGCTACAATAAGAATGTATTACTAAAATTAAATTCCCACTAAAATAAGACTGATCTTTCTTAAAGGGCATTATTTATAAATACATTATTTATAATATTACACTTTGTAATACAGCCATTTATGTTATTAAGAGTATAGCTCAGCTGCCATTTGCTAAAATGTAATACAGTAAAAAAAAAACCTCAATGGTTAAATTTAAAAACTCAATGACTTATATCAAGGAAAAAAAGGTCTTTGATAAAAGGGCTCTGGTCCTCTATAAATGGAAGACTGTTTATTTCTTATTATATGTGTGTATACTGCATGTGCATGTGTGTATACATTTTTGTGTGGTGTTAGGTATGGAATACTCAGAGCCTTACACATGCTAGGTAAGCACTCTGTCACTGAACCACACTCCCAATCTGGTTTATTTTATTTTATTTTAATTTTTTATGAAATGCTTCTCCATCTGTTTTGCAATCATTTTCTAGGTGTGTGTGTTTACACACATGTACATACAAATGTGTATGTATAAAACTGAAAAACAAAGTCCAGGTTTCAAGTGTAGTTCTAACTAAAAAAAAAAATAGAAGTTGAATGCCAATGATTTCCATGTTTCTGCATGTATTTTTGCCACTTCTTTTATACTTCAGTCCATTTCAGTCCAACAAATGTTTTTGGATATTTATTATTCACAATACAGTATACTACATACTAAGAGTATGCCCAAAAAAAAAGGAAGGAAAGGCGAGAGGAAAGAGTAGGAAGGAAAAAAGGAAGATAGTCTGCTACCACAAAGATCATAGTCATACAGAAGATGCAACTATGTATTCCTTAAGCAACAGGAAACATAAGACATTTACATGTACCATTAAAGAAGAATAAATACATGGGAATATGGAAAAGAAGAGTAACAGATTCTAACTGGAATGGAGAATGAGAACTATAGAGAGGTTCTGCTGAGTGACACTAGGGTTGGTTTTAAAGGTTCAGAAAGATCTTAGTAGAATACAGATAAGAAATTTTAGGCTGAGAATAGAGTATGTCAGTAACAAAGGTGCAAGATGAGAACGGGCCTACCTTATCTGGGATAACTTATAGTATGATACAACTATACAATGTCTATGTAAAGAGGAATAGTTGAAAATGAAGCCAAAAAGTGAGACAAGAACCAGATTATTAAAACAAACAAACAAACAATCTCAAATGTCATTAGGAGAAAACATTCATAGGAGTGTCAAAAAATTTTTGAGAATATGTGTGAAATATCTAGATATAGGATATCTCAAGTATTAACTTGTCAATTCTGCTCTTAAACACTCCTACTTTAATGTTACCTGAATCTAGAAATCTTCCTTTCCATTTTACATTCAATGGCACCACCACATTCCTACTCCTCTCCTCACTACAGTGTCAATAAACAGATCTTTAGATAATCCTGTGTGTGTATGTTTGCTTCTTCAGGTTTAAAGACTGTAACTCTCTGGAACAAGAATAGCACCCTGTGATTGATTGACTGATTGATTTAATTTAAGTTTCACCTTAGTGGCCACAGCATGCATCCAACATTAAGTACTTAAAGGAATTTAAGTACAGACAGGGCACCACAAAATCTTCTCTGTCCTCATCAGTGTGAACCTGCCTGTGCAATACACAGGATGGGATGGAGCCAACCTGAAATAGTTGTAGCAGGACATGTGCCCAAGCCACAAGAGTCACTTCCAACAAGAGAAATTCTCCATCCCATAACCATACAAGTTGGAATTCATCAAGTCTCACTAACTATCTGCAAACATTTCCCAAACCTAGTTTCCCTTTTGACTAGAACCAGCATTTTTGTCTTCAGACATTCTGTACCTGGGTCTTTACCTTTACTTTCCAATTACAATACATTAACAATACAAGACTTCATTGTGGCAATTCCATACATATGTATAGTATGCCTTGAAAAAGTTTATCCCCTCCATTATATTTCCATTCCCCCTCTCCCTACTCCTCCTCTTTCCAAAGGGTGGTTGGTGGTTTCATTATGCTGTCTTCATATGCATATATATTTAGTGTACTTCCATTATTTCACCCCTTTTCCTTTCCTTCCCCCTCTACCCTCACATGGCACCCCACCTCCCCGCAGATAGTGCCCCATATATGTACGTGGGTTTTTCATCAGCCTCTAGCTTATCTCACTATTTCTAGTCTTTATACTAGGTTAGAATGATGGATCTAAATACAAATCTCTTTGGATTCCACCCAGCTTAAAATTCTTCAGTACCTTCTTAATGGCTACAGCATACAAAGTCAAAATTTATCATAGCACATAAGACTCATTATTTCCAGCCTTGTTTCTGTCATTCATTCACCAAGTATTTACTATTTACTATTCTAGACATGTGTGAGTGAACAAAATACACATACCTCAAAAACAAAAGCCAAAAAATCAACATTAGCAAAAAACTTTCCAAGGGATATTTAACTTCAGCAGGGAGATGCTGGCAATAACCATAATTAAACTATATAGTTTATTGGGATGTGATATGTGTGTGCAATGAAGAAAAGTGTAGAATAAGGTAAGGTAGTCAAGTTAGGCCTTAGTGAAAAGGTGTACTTGAGAAGAGACTTGAAAGAGGTGAGGTAGTACATGCAGTTATCTAGAAAGTCTGTCTTGATGCTCAAGGATTGTTAGATCAGTGTTGCTGGAGAACAATGAATGAGGAGGGGGAGAAAAGGAAATGACGACAAAGAGAAGGAGTTGGAGTGGTAGAGTGACCATGCAGGCAACTGTTGACCATTACAAAGACTTGAATTATAATAAGCAATGTAGAAAGCACTGTGAGTAATACATGAACAGAAGGATGGCATGATATGAGTCAGATTTTAAAAAGAACTGCTCTGGTTCATGTGCAGAGAAGAGACTACAGTGGAGCAAGGGTGGGAGCAAGAACTTTGGTGGACCATGACTGCAATAATCCAGATAAGGAATAATGGCATCTTCTGTGGGTAGTAAGACATGGTCAGACTACAGTAGTGTAAGTTTCTAAAGTACAGCCAACAAGGTTTTTCTGAAACATTGGATGTGGGGTGTAAGAGGAGTCAAGCTGGAACCAAGGTTTTGGGACTGAGGAAATTGGAGGATAGAGTAGGTGTTACCTGGGATGAAGGAGTGCTCGTGGAACAGGTTTTTGGGAAAAAAATCTGGAATTCAGTTTCTGACATATCTGAAATGTGTAGTGGATATTCAGCCAAGCTTTTATACATACATATATACATGAAACTTTAGAGTTCAAGAAAGAGGTGGCTCCTGTCACCTTCTCAAACAAATCCTACTTTCCAGGCTTCCAGAATACCACGCAGATCCCTGTAATCTTCCTCATGTCTTTGCCTGTTTGTCTATTTTGAATGCCCTGTCCCCATTTTTTTCCACTTAGTCAAAAAAAAAAAAATCTCAGTTTTCAGAGGACTGATGTCATCTACCATCTACTCTATGAAACTCACATGATCATCAACTCCTGAATCACTGTTTCTTTTCCTCAGTCACTTAAGTAAAGGCTAAAATATATGGCTGGTCTTTCAGCACAATTGAAAAGCTGGACAATTTTCATTTTAATTTTGCTTAAGAGACATCCATTTTGCAAACACAGCAGGTGACCTGTCTGCTCTCATCATCAGAAATCTTTAGAAACCCTAATCAAAGAAAATTAAGTCCACAGAAAAAGATTTTGGCAAGGAGCTTAGTAACCACATTTTGCATTTCTCTGATTTCAGTAGTTATGTGAAGAAGACTAATCCTTAAAAAGACTTGTATTATATATAAACTTTATAGGCTAAAAACAAAGAACAAGACATCTTCTGTCTATTTGCCAAAGTTACTTACTGTTATAAAAATTTTCATTTTGATTGTCATTCTTTTACTTGCCTGGGGAGGCATTTAAATTAGAAGAATGATTAGTCAAGAAAACTAGTCTCTGTGTCATTCCAAAAAACAGTCTAACCTAAGAAAAGTGGAAATTTTAAAGGATGATGTGAAATTAGAGATGAGCCAGCTCAACTGGTCTGTCTCACAAATGAGGATGCTGACATCCAAGAAGCTGCAGCCAATGCTTGGGTAGTGAGACCACTTCTTGCAGTACAACTAGGACCATGCACGTTCCCGCACAACTGGTTCCCTAGCACCTGTCAGAGCACCTGGCAGATATTAAGTGCTCAATGAATGAACTTACAATTCTGAAGCTGAAGTATACGATGAAACAGGTATACCACATTTCCTCAGAGTTTAAAAAACTGCTGACTCACTGGATGCCAGTGGCTCATGCCTGTAATTCTAGCTACTAAGGAGGCAAAGATTAGGAGAACTGTAGTTTGAAGCCAATCCCAGAAAATAATACATGAGACCTTATCTCGAAAAAACCCATCACAAAAATAGGGTTGATGGAGTGGCTCAAGGTGAACACCTTGAGTTCAAACTCTAGTACTGAAAAAAAAAAAAAATTGCTGATTCACTGAAAGTTATAAAGTTTGGGGTTTAAGAATATGCAATCATCATTTTTTAGTATTAATAACAAAATGATAACCATATACAAAGATGTGTGTGTATGTGTGTGTTTTGGGGGGCAGTCCAGAAGCAAAATCTCTTAACAGTATATAAGTTTTAAAAAATGCTCTGTAGATCAAGAGAACAGACAATACTTTAGCAATCATACTTGCTCTATACTGTAGTTTGACCACATATCTTTTATAGGAAAATTACAGCCTCTGAAAATAAGACAGTGTGAAGTCCTTATTACATGGTTTTAGTGAGTCAAGATTTATATGGACCACTAGAGAAAAAAATAGCCTACTAATACTATAATTTAAAGTACCTTTAATAAACAGCCCAGGTTCTGAAAGTTTCCTAATACCAAACACACTTTTACTTGGTTGTGAAGCCAAAATGCCTTTGAAGCAAACACAACAATAACCAAAGAGAGCTATCAGGTATCATTTTAAAGTTACAAACACCAACCTCTTTAATCTCATGTAGTTTTCACTGGCAGCAGGTCGGCACTCAGCTCTTTGTACCACTATTCCTTCCAATGAGAGTTTATCTTGAAATGAAAGAAAAAAATGTATTCAGGGTTAACCTTCATCATTTTCAAGACTGCATTTTGACACATTATCTATAGTAATAAGACAAAACCAGAATTCATAGCAAAAATCAAGGAAACAAAGAACAGTATTAGGTGTACAGCATATCACTGGCCAGGACATAGAGAAATCTTGTTTTTTGTTGGTAGCAAACTGGAACCCATCAGATTTGCTTCTTGAGCTGCAAGAAGCCCCTGGCCAGCAACAGCTTCTACACATTTAGTTTTTTCAAAATAGAGTGACTTACAGAACATAAAATCGAATTAAAAATTTTTAAAGGGTAATATCACCTTTGACAGAAAACTAACTTCCAAAAACACAGATAGCCTAATCCACTAAACAAAAGATGTATATGTGTGTGTGTGTGTGCATAAACAAGTAAATAAAATAAAATTCTAGAATAACCTGTGACTAAAATGGCCACCAGAAAATATTGTGAAAGTGGGAGGGTCATTGTCTAGGTTATACTGTGTAGCAGTTCAGACTGCCAGTTGCTCTGATTTTTATTCCCCGGCAGAATTACAAATCTGTGTGTGTCAAAGTGAATCTGCTAACCAGGCACAATGAGGCAGGCTTGTAATCCTAGCATTCAGGAGGTGAATGCAGGAGGACTATCAGTTCCAGGTCAGCCTGGTCTGTATCGCAAGATATTGTCTCCAAACAAAGTGAATCTTCTGTAAATATTTGTCCCTACAGAAAGGAAAAATTCCCTACCATTAATAATGAGAAACCATAAGAAAAAGGAAATAAAAGCTAGCACCTACTGTGTACCTACTGGGCACCAAGCATTATGGAAGAGTTACTTGACAGACCTTGCCCTACTTACTTTACAGTATGAATATGAATGTCTCAAACTGACACCAGTTTATGGCACCCTGGAAATAGTATGACTGAAGTTAGAAATAGTTACAGTTCAGTCATATTTCCATGAGAATTCACGTGGGCTTTGAGAAGAGACAGGAAATTCTCTGGCTATCTAGGAATGCACTTATGACTCATCTCTTTGGGGTGAATTACTTCATTCATTCCATTAACATTGCCTAAATGCCTACCATGCAAAGGGTACCATTTGGCATTGTGGAATCAAAGATGATTAAGACATAGTATTATCTTCAAGGAATATACAGTTTTACTGTATGAACAGTGACATCCTGAACAAAATGTAGAGTCCATATAGAATTACCCCTATATGATTAATAGTAGACAATCTTCTAGGAACCTTTCTGGATTTTTCTCCAAAATTCAGGGGACCCCATACTGTAGTTCCTGAGCACTAATTACAAATACACTGTGTATCTTCAACATTTTCAGGGTCCCTCTATACAACCATGTGCAACAAATCTCAAGAAGAGGTGATCAGATGGCTGAGAAGCACAACGATGAGAAGCCTGCCTATCTTATGGCAAAATATGCCAGGAAGGAAACAAGACAAAAAGCCATTGTTGTTTAAACATTAAATTAAAAATTTAAAAATAATTTCCTCTTGAGTGAATTTAGTAAGATTAAAAATTGAATTTCCTTAAAGCAAAAACAAATCATATATTGTTTGCTTCTCCACTGAGGTTGAAAGTTGTGTCAAGAACTATTATTCAAGGGCTGGTGAATGTAGCTCAGTGATAAAGCACTTGCCTAGTGTACAGAATGCACTGGATTTGATCCCCAGCACCACAAACACACACAAAAAGTGTAAATAAATGCTCTAAAAACAAGAATAATTCTTCACTCATCATAATAATAGCAAGACTTGGGAAATGTAATGCATAGAGTATTTTAAAAGCAAAAGCAAAAGTCTAATACCAGAACATAAATTAATGCTTTTAAAAAAAATCAAGAATACCATCTCTGATGGTATTTTAATCACAAATCCAAGTGCTTACAAATGTTAACACTGAAAGCCACCACACCACCTTTTAAAAGGGACCACAATATGGTCCCCCAAGCATGATTTGCTCCTTTAAGGCCGATGCATGCTTTTTAAAGCCTTATAGGAACACATTCTCATATTTTCCCCATTAAACCATACTTATTTTCTTCTTCAAAACAATTCCTGGACTGGAGGTGTGGCTCAAGAGGTAGAAGGCCTGCTTTGCAAGTGTGAAGCTTTGAGTTCAAACCCTAGTCCCACAAAAAAAACCCAAAAAACCCCAACAAATCTGGATTTCAAGGGAAAGATATTAAACATTAAATTTTATTTAAAAAGCATCTGTTAATTATAGATCCTATTCATTAATACAGGAACACTTACTTAAAACTACTGCCCAATTTGAAAGAACACTATATATACATATACGTGTGTGTGTGTGCGCGCGCGCGCATGTGTGTGCATGGGTATGGTACTGGGGATAGAACCCAGGTCCCTGTGCTTGTGAGGCAAGTGCTCTATCATTTGAATTATGACTTCAGGTGAAAGAACATAAACATTTGAAGAATAATTCTTTTTATTCTCATACCCTGTGAAGTATGTACCTACAGCCTTCTATGAAAATAATCACGCAAAGTACATTAGGAATAACAAATGGGAAAGTGAAACATGGCGCTTGTTCTGTGGCATATATTCTTTTTTTCTTTTCTTATCCTCTGATGCAGTGTGATTTAGCCATTTGTGATATACACATATATCAAAACATCATGCTGTACTCTACAAATACATTTATCAATTAAAACATTGCAAACCAATATATTTACATTTTAAAAAAGAAGTACAGACATTCCCTAAGAGTTTACACTGATGTGAGTTTTAACTACTGGCACATACCACATTATAAACCAGGAAATTTTTAGAGAATGAGTGAAAAAAGCAAAAGTCTTAGTTGTATTATGAAAATAGTTCTGATCTCGAAGACCCTGTGGAAGGGTCTGAAGACCCCTCTACTCAGCAGTTCCCAGACAACGTCTTGAAAACTGCAAATCATAGGATAAGACCAGTATATGAAGAAAACTTTTAGGGGAGCAATAAGTACAGGGCCCTGAGTTCAAACTCCAGTACTGGAAAAAGATCTTTTTAATTCAATTTTGATACACCTCCACTTCAATCACTTCCAGATTAACAAAGGCTCTCAATTCCCCCACTAATAAATATAGTGACAGATGCCCACAGCTCACTATACACTAGTGGGTACTAGGTTAAATCTCTAGCACTCCCACATACTTCTGTTCAAACTATGCTAGAACTTGTTGGTGCTAGTCTTAGTAATTAAGCGATTTGATTATGCATTATATAAGCTCATTAAATTATGAGATGAAGTAAGGAGAAATGTTTCTATGAAAATTAGGAAGAATGCTTTCATTAAGACTCGATATAAGGTTGCTAAAAAAAAAATACTGTCAAATTAGGTTTGGGTGAAACAATCAGCACTAGAAAATAAAAAGTCCAGAAGGATTTGCATTCCTGTTGTTTCACAGTGTCTTCATTTTTGAAGAAACCAAAACTGAAAATTTGAACCAAAGTATACGCTTCATTTCCACAAGAAAAAGAAAGCAGATGGTCGATCAGCATCCTACACTCAAAGCAAGGCCCTATCTTACATGTGTATCAGCATCTAAATATACACTCCCAGTTTTAAGACAAAACATTTAAGGCAGGTAGGAATACATACTGATAGCATTTATAAAATGATTTCCTATCTTCTAATTAATGCCAACTACTGGTCCTTTTATATAATAGATGGGACTGTACTGTACAAAGTCGATGTATGAATGCTGTTATAAAAATCAGACATTGGAAGTAAACACATGCACAAAGAGATTATGTGTGGCTGGGGATGAAGAGCCTTGTTCAGAAAGCAATGCCTATGTTTGGACCTTGAAAAATGGGTAGAATTTAGACAAGAGGCGGGGAGGGAGGTGAGAAAGAAGGGCATTGAAAGTGTTGGGAATGGCCTTAGCAATGTCTTTTAATCGTTTTTTGTTTTTTTTTTTTTTTTGGTGGAGGTGATACTGGGTTTTGAACTCACGCTTGCTAGGCAGGCACTCTTACTGCTTGAGCCACCTGCCAGCCTAGCAATGGTTTCTGATTAGCTTCAGGCACTCTCTTTGGAGTTTTCAGCTCAAGGAGTCACACCACAAATCACTGGGATGGAGTGATCATGCCAGAAATCTGAAAAGAAGCCACAAAAAGCTCATCCTACTGAACTCCTTGCAATGGCTCAGTTCTTACCTTTCTTTCTCTGGGCCTGGCCATTTGTTCAACGCTTCTTTGGATTACGAGGAAAAAAATCTAGGATGCATTCTGAATTCTCCTCCCACGGCCTTTTATTTCTTTTCTGCTAGATTGGTTTGCCAATTGGTTTCTGCTACTTAGAGTCTTATAGTCAAAAGAATCTTAAGTATGAATGTGGTGTGGGTACTTTATTTTACAGCTACCACTTAGTGTCAGAAAGGGTAAATGAAGAAAATAAAGAGGGTGAATATGGTTGATGCACTTTCTACACAAATATGAATATGGAACATTGAAACCTGTAAGTTACCATAAGAAGGAATGAGGTAGGAGGGAGAATAATGGAGGGATGAACCAATTTGGGGTATAACAGATGTATATACAGAAATGTCACAATGGAAACCCCCTGTATAACTTATTATAAACTAACAAAAATGTTCTTTTTTAATAAATGAAGGACAGGAAGATAAATTGGTACTGTCCGGGGATGGTACTAGTGGAAGGGGACAAGGAAAAGGGTGAAGGAGGGAGAATAGATAGAAGTATTTTGTATTCATGTATAAAAATAGAACAATGAAACTTGTTGAAATTGTTCTAGGATGGGAGGTAGAGAGGATAAAGGAGAAAGATGGAAGGGGTGAATCTAATTAAAATATACTGTAAGCACTTATATAAATGTCACAATGTACCTCTTGTACAATTATAATATATTACTAATTTTAAAGAGTTAAGAAGCTGTCTTGAACCTGAAACATTCAAACTTCTGTTCTAAACTGGACCTTCTTATTCTATAGTTGAACTTGA